TTATATTAAAAAAAATCCAGTTAAAACCTTACAAATGATTTATGCTAATGAAAAATTTAATGAATTGAAGAATATTTGCTTGGAAAAGTTTTGCAATTATAGTGAAGAATTATTTGAATCAAGTGATTTTGAATTGCTGGAAAAACCAACTCTATTGGAAATTCTCAAAAGAGATGATTTTTCCATTAATGAAACAATTGTTTGGGAAAAAATTCTTAAATGGGGTTTGGCAAAACATCCAGAAATTAATAATATCAGTGTTGAAGATTGGTCACCACAAAATTTTGTTGATATTGGTAACACATTAAAAGAATTTATTCCTTTAATAAGATTTCAGGATATTTCTAAAGAGGATTTTTTTGATAAAATTGAACCATATCAAATGCTTTTTCCTAAGACTTTACGGAAACCACTTTTACAACATTATGTGTTTCCTGATAGACAACAAACATTGAATTTATTGCCATCAAGGAATCCAAATTCAACACTTGAATCATTGACTATCAATCAAAATCTTATTTTACTTTTTGCTAGTTGGATTGATAGAAAAAACTCACCATATAATTCATTCAGGGAAGTTAAATATGAATTCAAACCTATATATCGTAGCAGTAGAGATGGTTTAAGTATAGCTGCTTTTCATCAAAAATGTGATAATATCAATAAAACTCTTGTAGTTGGCAAAATACAAAATTCAGATCAATTAGTAGGAGGTTATAATCCACTTAATTGGAATTTAAACAATGGAGCTTGTATAGCTAAAAATACAACTGAAAGTTTTATTTTTAATATTAGCAATAGAAATGATATTAATTCTGCACAATTTAGTTATGTCATAAAGAATTATTATTATGCAATTAACTGTCATAATTCATATTTAGCTCTTTTTGGTTGTGTTGATCTTGGTTTTGTACCAAGTCATGTTGTTTATGATGTACATTCTTATAGTAACATTAATATAGTAAATGGTAGTAAATATGATGAATTAGAAGTGTTTCAAATAATTGACAAAAAATAAAATCTCAAATTTTTTTAAAAGATTATATTTTAAAGATTGTTTGTTAATATTTCTCTTTAAATATACTTTTCTCATTAATGACAATAGTAATTTTTTTATTTAAATATATTACCTGGGCATAATAATAAAATATAAAGAATATATCCATAGTTTCTTTATTTATTTGAAAAAAAATGATAATAATAAAATTCAGTATCTAGTTGGTCATCCAACTTACCTGCTTCTACTCTTTGTTTTGGATCTGTAAGCGTTTCTTATCTACATTTCTGACAAAAAATAGGCTCTTTGAAGTTGTTTTACTTGTTCAGACATGCATCTACTTCTGCTATGCTTTCCAAAAATTGTTTTTCACAGAGAGCCCAACCCAGTTCAAAGTAATTCCTTTTAAAATTAAAAATTTTTAATTTAACATCTAGAAAATATTTATTATATTAATTTTTTTCTCTATAATGTACCATTTGGTTTAGGAAAAAATGTCTGTTATAGACAATAATATTAATAATTATTTATAT